GTTTGTCATTTTTTTAACTGACAATCAGCAGCACACACAAACCACATCCCAACAAAATAACCTTTCTCATCGAACTCGAAGTCAGGTCACGATGTTGTGCGACTGAAGAAGAACTAAACACTTCATTGGTAGTCGTATTAGCAAACCGGATCTCATTCACACGAACAGATTATTGAAACGGCAAACTTAGATACCTCCGAGCCCACGACCAACAGCAGCTGCAGCAGCAGCAGCAACGACAACTACAACAACATCGTTATCATCGCTATCATTATCACAATGAAAACAATACTGAGGTTCTGAATAACCATAGAAAGTTACAGTTCAGTGGGTCTGTCAACAGTACACATGTAAATATACTTATACCATGTTCCATGAAGACTCTCCTTCTTTCATTGGAATTCCACTTATGTGGGGACAAAACTGGCGTTCCAACGCAGTCGATCCGCATTTCCAAACTGAATAACCGAATCAGGAATCGAATGACAGCCCAATCACCATTCGATTTCTCACCTCATAAAGCGTAATGATCCAGTTGTACAAGCATGATCAGCCAGCAAAGATTACCAATCCAGTGTGAACTGAAATAAGTCAGTGGTGTTGACGGTGTTGGTGGTGGTGAGAATATAGTTCACTCCTTGATTGTATCCCGTTTGGACAACAATCGCCAACTTACACGGGAGTAAGGAAAGTCTTGGTTCCATTAAATAGTGAACTTCATGTTGTATATGGCAAATGAAACGTGAAATGAGAAGCTTGGAAGCACTGAGCAGCGGTTTCGATCTGTTTCGGTCTCATCAGCTGTGTGAATCCATTGAATCAACTGAGGATTAAATCCCATACCTCACAGGAGGAACACGATCATGCTATCCACTTGATCACCGGGCAGACAGTTCATCATTTTGCCTTCATTTGATATAGCACAGCCATTCGGTACAAGCCTGTAGCGGGCATCACATGCGGCTCATTTTAACACCGGCCTCCCAGGGTTATGACTCCTTTGGTAATATTCCGAACCTGACTACTTGTTGCATCGGTTTAGTGATGGTCCCTGGTTCGATCCTCACTTGTGCCGATAGATGCACAGGGCTGATGAGACCCACTCCGATTGAAACGGCCCTACGGTAGTACCTCTTAGCTTTCCAGTTCACGCCTGATTTGCTATAAATGTGAGAAAAGCAGAAGCATAGCTCTCTTTTCTCACATTGAGTCAAATCTTCAACCAACTCGCGTGCGACCGGATCTCCTTACACTCATTCGAGCCAGCGCTTGGAGTTTTCTATGCCGTGTAATCTCACTCTAAGTGTGCGTGTGTGTGTGTGTGTGTGTGTGTGTGTGTGTGTGTCTATCTGTCGTAATTCAGTACACGGTCGTCAGAGGCAAAGCAGAAGAGAGAAGGCAGTTGAATAGGCTTTCCGCGACTAGTCAATTGAGCGCACAACCAAAAATAGCGAAAATAGTCCATAGTTTATTGGCTATCAGAATATGACAACATTTTAACGATTTGCCGCGTACGTGACATTCCCACCTCACGGGTAAAATTTGAATAGAGCGGTTCTTGTGTTTGTATCCAGCGTGATAAACAAAGTGCTCACATCCAAGGTCATCGCATGAAAATGATTGTCACATGTGCATGTCCGTGTGTGTGTGTGTGTGTGTTTGCGCGCGCAGTGCGTGATTGTTTGAGTAGACTTTCCCATGGTCAATCAGGAATGACAAAAAGATTACAAGGTGATAAATGGAATACACTGAAACTTCGGAAATGATCAATACGACAAGACGGATTTTACAAACGATTGTACTATTCTCCCACCCCCTCTTTCTCCCCCTTAGGTAAGTGGAATAGTAGATTTGGGTCACTTGGGAGATACAGAAATTGAAACAGATTTGAGAATACAAAGTGTTCAGTCAAGTCAAATCAAGTAAAGCTTTGGGGATGGTATTACCATTACAAGAAAGTTCAGGCTGATTAGTCAGAAGGGTTTGATAAGGCATGGCTCTTTTAGGGCTAAAAGAAACATCTAGACATTTATCTACATTGAGCATTATAGATCGGGGGGGGGGGGGGG